GTGGTCAAGGGTCACCTCTGGGTCACTGGGGTGACCATTCTGGTGGTCAGGGGTCACCTCTGGGTCACTGGGGTGACCATTCTGGTGGTCAGGGGTCACCTCTGGGTCACTGCGGTGGTCATTTGGCCAGCCGGGGGTCACTGGGGTGGTCACTTGTGGTCAAGGGTCACCTCTGGGTCACTGGGGTGACCATTCTGGTGGTCAGGGGTCACCTCTGGGTCACTGGGGTGGTCATTCTGGTGGTCAGGGGTCACCTCTGGGTCACTGCGGTGGTCATTTGGCCAGCCAGGGGTCACTGGAGTGGTCACTTGTGGTCAAGGACGGTCAGGGGTCACCTCTGGGTCACCGGGGGGGTCACTAAGGGGGTCAGTTGTGGTCAGGGGTCATATCTGAGCCACCCCATTGGTCACTTGTGGTCATTGCATCACCTCTGGGTCACTGGGGTGGTGACAAGGGGGGTCAGTTGTGGTTAAGGGTCACCTCTGGGTCACTGAGGTGGTCACCCTGGTGGTCAAGGGCACCACCGGTGAGTGGGGTCACTGGGGTCATTGGGTCATCTCTGGGTCACTGGGGTGGTCACTAGGGAGGTCACTTGTGTCAGGGGTCACCTCTGGGCCACCCCATTGGTCAGTTGTGGTCATTGGGTCATCTCTGGGTCACCCTAGTGGTCAAGAGTCACCTCTGAGTCATTGGGGTGGTGACAAGGGAGGTCACTTGTGGTCAGGGGTCATCTCCAGGTCACTGGGGTGACCATGCTGGTGGTCAGGGGTCATTTATGGGTCACTGGGGTGACCACCCTGGTGGTCAAGGGCCATTTATGGGTCACTGAAGGGGTCATTGGGCCATCTGGGGGTCACTGGGGTGGTCACTTGTGGTCAAGGGTCACCTCTGGGTCACTGGGGTGACCATTCTGGTGGTCAGGGGTCACCTCTGGGTCACTGCGGTGGTCATTTGGCCAGCCAGGGGTCACTGGGGTGGTCACTTGTGGTCAAGGACACCACTGGTGGGGGTGGGGGGTTACCAGGGGGTCATTGGGTCACTGAGAGGTCACTGGAGGGGTCACTAGGGGGACACTGAGGTGACCACCCTGGTGGTCAGGGGTACCACTGGGCGGGTGGGGGGGTCGTGGGGACACCAGGGGGTCACTCGGGGGGGGTCACTGTCACGGGGAAGGGTCACCACGGGGTCACTTTGGGGTCACTTTCCCGAGCGGTCACTCACTGCCCTCGTGTCCCTGGCAGGTGTGACCACGCTGGGGACGGTGACAGGGACAGTGTCCACCAGCCTGGCCGGGGGGGCTGGTGGCCACAGCGCCACGGCCTCGCTGGCCACGCCCATCACCACCCTGGGGACAATCGCCACCCTGTCCAGCCAGGTCCTGAACCCCGCGGCCATCACGGCCACCGCGGCCGGGGGCGGCCTGGGGACACCGACCATCACCATGCAGGTGAGGGGACACTGGGGACATTGGGGACAGGGGACACTGACCGTCACCATGCAGGTGAGGGGACACTGGGGACACTGGGGACAGGGGGGACACTGACCGTCACCATGCAGGTGAGGGCACACTGGGGACAGGGGACAAGGGGGACACTGGGAACAGGGGGGATAGGGGACACCGACCATCACCATGCAGGTGAGGGGACACGGGGGACGGGGGGGCTGGGGACACCGACCATCACCATGCAGGTGAGGGGACACGGGGGACGGGGGGGCTGGGGACACCGACCATCACCATGCAGGTGAGGGGACACGGGGGACGGGGGGGCTGGGGACACCGACCATCACCATGCAGGTGAGGGGACACGGGGGACGGGGGGGCTGGGGACACCGACCATCACCATGCAGGTGAGGGGACACGGGGGACGGGGGGGCTGGGGACACCGACCATCACCATGCAGGTGAGGGGACACGGGGGACGGGGGGGCTGGGGACACCGACCATCACCATGCAGGTGAGGGGACACGGGGGACGGGGGGGCTGGGGACACCGACCATCACCATGCAGGTGAGGGGACACGGGGGACGGGGGGGCTGGGGACACCGACCATCACCATGCAGGTGAGGGGACACGGGGGACGGGGGGGCTGGGGACACCGACCATCACCATGCAGGTGAGGGGACACGGGGGACGGGGGGGCTGGGGACACCGACCATCACCATGCAGGTGAGGGGACACGGGGGACGGGGGGGCTGGGGACACCGACCATCACCATGCAGGTGAGGGGACACGGGGGACGGGGGGGCTGGGGACACCGACCATCACCATGCAGGTGAGGGGACACGGGGGACGGGGGGGCTGGGGACACCGACCATCACCATGCAGGTGAGGGGACACGGGGGACGGGGGGGCTGGGGACACCGACCATCACCATGCAGGTGAGGGGACACGGGGGACGGGGGGGCTGGGGACACCGACCATCACCATGCAGGTGAGGGGACACGGGGGACGGGGGGGCTGGGGACACCGACCATCACCATGCAGGTGAGGGGACACGGGGGACGGGGGGGCTGGGGACACCGACCATCACCATGCAGGTGAGGGGACACGGGGGACGGGGGGGCTGGGGACACCGACCATCACCATGCAGGTGAGGGGACACTGGGGACAGGGGACACTGACCGTCACCATGCAGGTGGGGGACACTGGGGACAGGGGACACTGACTGTCACCATACAGCTGAGGGGACACTAGGGACAGGGGACGCTGACTGTCACCATGCAGGTGAGGGCACACTGGGGACATTGGGGACAGGGGACACTGACTGTCACCATGCCGGTGAGGGGACAAGGGGGACCCTGGGGACATTGGGGACATCTGGGGTTGTCCCCAAATGCGGCTCAGCCCCAGCTGTGCTGCTGACAGGAGCGGGGAGGGGACACACAAGAATTTGGGGTGACACAAGGGGGGGGTCACAGAGATTCGAGGCTGGGGGCGGGGCTGTGCCAGTGCCACCTCCCCTGACCCCCCGTGGGGACACAGCCGGTGTCCCAGCCCACGCAGGTGACGCTGATCACCACGCCCAGCGGCGTGGAGGCCCAGCCCGTCCACGACCTCCCCGTGTCCATCCTGGCGTCCCCAACGGCCGAAGGTCCCCCCGCGGCCACCTCGGGGGGTGGCAGCCTGGCCGAGCCCCCCCCCGCCGAGGCCACCCCGGGCACGGTCACCCTGGTGTGCTCCAACCCCCCCTGCGAGACCCACGAGACCGGGACCACCAACACGGCCACCACCAGCCTGGTGGCCAACGTGGGGACAGGGGGGGGACAGCTGCAGCTGCTCTGCGAGGACACGGGCGGGGGGACAGCGGTGGCAGCGCCCCCCCGGGCCTGCTCCAACCCCCCCTGCGAGACCCACGAGACGGGGACCACCAACACCCCCACGGCGGCGGGGACGGCGCGCTTGGGGACCCCCGGGGGACCGCCCTGCCCCACGCAGCAGACGGCGGCCACGGGGACGACGATGACGGCGCGGTTGTGCCCCCCCGACGGCGGTGTCACCTCCGGTGTCACCTCGTGCCAAACGCAGGAGGCGGCCCCGTGCCAAACGCCCTGGGGACAGCCTGAGGTGGGGACGGCCACCGGGGCGGTCACTGCGGCCACCGGCACGAGCTGTGAGACCCCCGCGGGGACGCGGCTGTGCGCCAACCCCCCCTGCGAGACCCACGAGACGGGGACAACCAACACGGTGACAATGACAGCACCAAGGCCACCCTGCTCCAACCCTCCCTGCGAGACCCACGAGACGGGGACAACCAACACGGTGACAGTGACAGGGGCACAGCTCTGCTCCAACCCTCCTTGTGAGACCCACGAGACGGGGACAACCAACACGGTGACAATGACAGCACCAAGGCCACCCTGCGCCAACCCCCCCTGCGAGACCCACGCGACGGGGACAACCAACACGGTGACAGTGACAGGGTCACAGCTCTGCTCCAACCCCCCCTGTGAGACCCACGAGACGGGGACAACCAACACGGTGACAGCCACGGGGACACGGTTCTGCTCCAACCCCCCGTGTGAGACCCACGAGACGGGGACAACCAGCACGGCCACCACCACCACGGCCACCTCGCGCCCCCCGCCCGAGCCGGGGACAGCGGTGCCACCACCTCGGGGTGTCCCCCCCTGCGCCAACCCCCCCTGCGAGACGCACGAGACGGGGACGACCAACACGGTGACAATGACATCGTCACAGCTCTGCTCCAACCCCCCATGCGAGACCCACGAGACCGGGACCACCAACACGGCCACCACGGCCACCGCGGGCTCCCGGCCGGGTGACACTACCACGGCCACCAGCGCTGCCACCACCGCCACCACCTCCAGCACGGGGGGGTCCCCGCCTTGTGCCAACCCCCCCTGCGAGACCCCCGAGAGCGGGACCACCAGCACGGCCACCAGAGCGGGGTCCTCGCCCTGCCAGAGCCACCAGGGCGGGGCCACCAGCACGGCCACCACCGAGGGGGTGACACCGCCGCCGCCCCCGCCCTGTGCCACCGCCACCAGCCCCCCCCGCGCCTGCTCCAACCCCCCCTGCGAGACCCACGAGACGGGGACAACGGCCACGGCCACCACGGTCACCGCCAGCATGGGCGCCAGCCAAGGTGACCCCCGGATTGTCCCCAAATTGTCCCCAAATCGTCCCCAAATCGTCCCCAAATCGTCCCCTCCGCCCTCACTTTGGGCTGGTCGCCTCGCTGACCCCTCCCCGTTGTCCCCACAGAGCCCCCCCCGCCGGCTGCCAACGGGCAGGGGGAGGGGGAGACCCCCCCCAGCGAGGGCGGGGGTCCCCCTGTGCCCCCCGGGACCCCCAGCCCCGGCCCCAGCGGCAGCGGGACCCCCCAGCCCCGGGCGGTCACCACGGTCACTCAGTCCACGCCAGCACCGGGGCCGGCCGTGCCGGTGAGCGGCTTGGGGACACTGGGGGAGGGGCTGGGGACACTGGCAGGGGGTTTGGGAACATTGGGAGGGGATTTGGGGACAGTGGGAGGGGGTTGGGGACACTGGGAGGGGGTTTGGGGACAGTGGGAGGGGGTTTGGGGACATTAAAAGGGGATTTGGGGACATTGGAAAAGAGTTTGGGGACGCTGGGGGGGTTGGGGACACTGAGATGTCCCAGGGACCTGCCGGTGGCTCTGGATGCCACCAAGGCCCCATTTTGGGGAGGGGTCTCACCCCCCCACAACCCCCTTTCCTCTCCCCTCCCCACCCCAGACCATCTCGTCGCTGACCGAATCCCCCCCGGCT